TTGTGTGTGTGTGTGTGTGTGTGTGTGTGTGTGTGTGTGTGTGTGTGTGTGTGTGTGTGTGTGTGTGTGTGTGTACGGACCAGTGGCTGATGAATTATTCCCTGTCTGAGTCCCAGCATTGGCGTTATCACAGAGGCTGCCGATGCACTGGGAAGACAGCGTTGACAGTCACACCCCCCCCACCCCCCCACCCTGGCCCCATCTGCCTCTAGTGCTCCGCTTGGAAGAAAAGATTTAGTGCTGACAAGTGCTACTTCCTTCTAATATCACCACCCACCTCCCAAACGTCCCACAGACTTTTCATGATTACAGGATTTGATTTTACTCGTGCGGGCACCACCCCGTGGCACGAGTTGACCTCGTACGCTAGAACAGCTCCCCCTTGGACACCCCAGCCGAGCAAGGACCTCTCCCGTACAACAAGATATTCATGTTATGTTTTTCCTCATGTTTAAGGCTGCTGCTGTTTGGGTTAGCTAAATCTCGGCTTTCAACTTCAAACCGTCTTGGCTGCCCTTTAGGTGATTTTGGGGTTTTTTTTGTCAGTCCACATTTTTTTTTTTTTTTTGGGGTGCCTCCCGTTTGTCACCCACTTCCATTAGGGGGCCCTCGTGCTTCAGGAATGTCGTTTTCTTGTTCTTCTCAATACAAAAAAACAACGGTACTAAGCAATATTTCTCAACCGTCTTTCTCCTTTTTGCCACCCCCCTCCACCCTCCCCTTTTCTTTTTTCCTTCCTCCTGGCAGAAAAGGTCACGTATCGCCTACAGTGACGAGGTGCGCAATGAGCTCCTGGGGGACGACGCCAGCTCCTCGGAGAGCCAGGTGAGCCGCTAATCAGCCTCGGCCTGACTGGACACCGACCGGTGTGGGAGGCCGACATCGAGGCCTGGGGGTTGGTTTGGTGTGGTGGTGCTGGGGGGGGGCGGGCGGCGGCAGCGGGCTCCCCTCATCCTCGCCAGATCTGAGGACGACGCCGGCGTATTGTCACCAAGTCATGCGGAAGCAACACTGTTTAATGCAAAGCTGGGCCGACGTGGGGCATGGGACTGGCCAGATTGTCAGCACCCACCCGAACGCACGCACGCGCGTATGCACACACAATGCAAAGCAGCAGTTCAATAGCAAACCGCAGTCATGCCGCAGCTGGGTGTCGCTCCGTAATAGGCCCTCAAACACAAAACGGTCAAATCTGCTTCTTTGCACATCTGTCAATCGAGGAAAAAATAAATAAATCACCCACTAGTGTGTTAAAGTTTACTCTTAGGGGCATTCAGATTATTCATGAAAATTTTTTTGTACTTTTCTTAAATCTCACAGTTTGGCATGTCATGATTTTAAAATATCAGTTCCCTCCACTTGCCTCCCACCCCGACTTTTAAGTGCAAAACAATTGCGTAAAAAACATGCACAAAACGCTGAAGATCTGATTGTTTCCATTCCACAAGCTGTCAAAAACAATCACTCCAAACTCTGCTCAAAGTGCAAAAACAATTCAAGGATTACTCATCACAACATTGCAATGCTATGAGATCAACAACCAGTGTTTCCTTTCGTGCAATTTTGTTCGCGCATTAACAAAACTAAAATATTCATTCCCAGCGGTTTTGCAAAATAGGTCACGTATGTTCTGATCGCAAAATCCATCTTATTTTTTTCACAATTGGACAGCCCGAATGAAATGTTGTGCTTCTGAGAGTCTCGAAAAGTATAGTAACAATCATGGAGTGCACAATTCCTGCTTTCTTCCTCGGCCTGGTTCTAATTTGCTATCTTGTTCAAAATGAGTGGTTATCAGGATAAAAAAAAAGTTGTTTATTGCATAGCAGCTATGAAAATTAGCACAGCTGAATGTAATGAAAAAGACAGTAATCATTCAGTTAATTTTATATGATCTGCATTTTTTTTTTTTTTTTGCGTTCCTATTTGCACTTCACATTTTGTTCCAAGGGAGGTTTTTTTTTTTTTTAATGCCGAAAATCATAACACTCAGAATAAGACGAGCTGTATGGAATTATTTAAGATCGCGACACACGCACGACAAAACCCTTGCACACAAAAAATGGTAGCGTCTGCTTCATTCATTCAATCATTTCATTTCATTAAAAAAAACAAAAACAAACATACCAAAGTAGAATATTCATTCACTACCTTTTTTTTTTTTGCAGCCTTTAAAGTGCAAAATATGTCTCGTGTTGTTTTGTATGCATTCTTAAAGATATAGAAACCTACGCCGCACACACACACACACACACACACACACACACACACACACACACACACACACACACACACACACACACACACTACAACGCGGACCAAACCTCTTTCGACTCATTTATAGATTGCGACAATTCAAAATGTGAAATCGTATTAGCCTAAAATAAATGAGATTATATTTAGAAGTAAAATAAGGCACATTTTTTTTCTTATCATCTCCTTATTACCATTTCAATCATCATTCACCATCTTCCAACATATGCCCATGTGTGTGTGTGTGTGTGTGTGTGTGTGTGTGTGTGTTGATACAGGCTGCGTAATTGATATGCATATTTGCCGGCAAATTAGCAAGACACAAAAGTGATGCGCGCAAGTGGGAAAGGAGATCCGCTGTCACCAATGTCACGTTTGAGACGCTGACGGCCGCCGATCAAGGAGAAAAGAAGAAACGAAAAAAAAAAAGCCCAAAAAGAAAGATTGTGCCGTCTCGTTTGGAATACCATTCATCTATTTTTTTCTGAAATGGCTTTTTGCAGACAGCTTGGGAAAAAATTCAGACGACGACAAAACATTTGAATGAGAAATAAAATATGTGCTACATAAGATGAATTTTTTTTTTTCAAAATAAGCTGTGATAATGCAAAAATTATCTATCTTCAGATCTTATGTGGATCTCAATAGGTTTTTCTTAAAAAAGTGTTTTTTTAATCCCCCAAATTCTTTACAAAAAGAAAACAACCAAACTGGCAGAGTGTGATGATAAAAATCAGTGTGACTGAAAACCCGGGAAAAAAAATAGTTAAAATAAACCAGTTTGGAGTTGTCCTTTTGGGCCTAGTTTTGCATTTAAAGTTATTCTTTCATTTCTAGTTACATTTGTTTCTAAAAAAAGAAAAGAGAAACAAACAACAATAACTACCATAATAATTTGCCAAAAATTTGTATTTAAAAAAAACATTGAGATGCCTCTCAAATGAGTTTTTGTTTTTTTCCGGAATATAATTCAATCCAGTCTACCCTAAAAATAAACTAAACAATTTTAAATAAGGTATTATTTTTAGTTTTTTTTTTTTGTTTAATTATTATTTATTCAGTCAAGAATGAAAGTCAAGTATTACAGTAATAGTAAACCAATATTTTTGGGACTCTATGACTCATCCTTGGCCTGGTTTTGCATTTATCATCTTGTGTCAATAATTTTCGTGTTGTCATAATTAGAGTACTTATATAAATAAATAAAACGACAAAAATATTTTTCTAAAAAGATGGCGGCGATCGGAGAGAGAAGGGACCAGAAGTCGGGGGCAAGGAGGGGTCAACGAAATTGCCGTCCGTTTGTAAAACGTGGGCCCTGGATGGTGCGGCGTAGGCCCTCGCCGCCGCCACCGATCATTACGGCTCCCAAATGTGCTGGTTACAAGGCCAAAGGATTTCCAGCTTAAGGAAATAGGCCAGCGTCCCAAGTTGCGATAATGGCTAAAGGACCATTTAATAGAGTTGCACATTTATTCGTTATCTGTACGCCAGCAGAGGCGGAATTGGCGCTATCATGTGCTAGGCACATTTTTTTTTTTTTTTTGCCCTCCCCGTCTTTTTTGTTTTTTTTTTTTCTTCTCCCACACGCACACATAAACGGAACGCCGAATAGTTTCGATTTCAGTGGCAGCAGAAGGCTTGGCCACGAGAGATTGCGCCGGTTTCAGCCGGCACCGGCCAGATTTTCCCGAGCTACAAAGGAAGCGCATTACCACTTGTGTCGAATTCCGTATTGGGGTAGGGGGCGGCAGGGAAAAAAAAAAGAAAGGGAAAAAAATCTTTTGTTGGGGGGAAAAAAATGCTGATTATCATAATGGAAAAATTGCAGCAGTGCAATTTTGAATGCTGGCTGGCTGGCTGGCACCACAAAAACACAAGGCGAACACGGCATAATTATGACATTCACGGCGTTCCACAATGCGAGCGGCGTCATTGGCCATGCTAAAGACGCTGTCGGGCGAAGGAAAATCAAGCTAAAAAAAAAAACCCACACACTTCTCAAGCAGGCTTTTGTGCAAAGTCCTCCCGTGAGGATTTGCAATCGGTCAGGCGGCACAAACCAGCCTAGAAAAAGTTTTGTTTGGCGCCCCATTGAGCGATCGTCAAATCTGCTACACTCTCCAGTGAGCCCCCACATCATCCCCCACTCCCCGGCCTTTGCGTCGTTTTAAACTTTGCCCTTTTAAATAAGCCAATCATGCTGTGTGCATGGACCGAAGGAGCATCTTGTTAGCTGCGACCGGCCGGCTCTTTCGGAAGACGCGCATTTCGACATGTTTACCTTGCGTAGCTCAAGTGAGCTTCTGTTTTTATTCGTGGAAAAGAAAACTAGATGAGTGAACTGCGATGATGAGTAATGGCAACGCACACACTCTGCTGTCATTCAAAAACACACCGTATTCTTCTTTCTTTCTTTCTTTTTGCTGATGTACACACTATTTGTGGCTTTTTTTGGGTGCTCTTCCTGGAATGCTCAAAAACTCCCAAATCTGCAATAATTGAGTTGGAATTTGCAACAACGTGTGATAACGGACCACAAATTTTTCGTAATTGTAATCGCGTTAAACAACGTTAGCCGCCCATTTCTACGGAGGTTCGCAACTCTGCGACAAAAATGGTTTGCTCGTGAATACCGAGCCTCACTTTTCTTCCCCGTGAAATTCATTTTTGATCAACTTCAGTTTCGGTGCGTTTTATCAGAAACGTGTCTGACTAATTCCTGTTGCGCCAACGCCGTGAAACTCGGCTACGCGAAATCCCATTCCAGAGAATTTACCCGACTGACAGCTGAGCAACGCTAAAGTCCGTGTTTTGACATATTTCGAACAGAGCGTGAGCCCGTACGAAAGTGTGCTCCCTTTTCTCCGGCAACATCCTTCCCCGTGACTTTGCGGCTAATGCTAGCTGATGGTGCCAGGCGGCGCTCTCCGCGTCCTTGCCGTCGTTTAATGTGACAGTGCGACGACTTGATCTTTGTTTGTGCACAAAAAAGTCAGCGCTCGGCTGCGTTTAGCGCGTTTGTCTGCTGATTTCCGGGCGCGCGGCGTGCAAACAGAAAAATCGTCAAGGTTAATTTGCACGCGCCGCCGCGTGACGGATCCCTCATCCTGGAAATATTTCCTCTCTCATTTCCTTCTCCTCTCTCTCTCTTTCTCTCTCCCCTTTTGCCTTGCTCTCATGATGCAGTTGATAAAGTTGCGCGAAGAGGTAAGTGCTTCTCTGACTATTTAAATTGCTTTTTTTTTTTTCCACCCCCACTGTCCCTCCACTGCAATTTCCATTTGCCCTCCTCGTCTGTTGCGCAGAAAATTAAATCGGGCTCATTTGGACCGACTTTGGTCTGAAGCGCTTAAAGGCCAAGTCAAAGATAATGAGTTCACAAAAATGCCAGATTCTCGAGTTTTTCGTTCTCTCAAACTTAAGACGGTGAAGAGTTTTGCCCCTTTTTTTTCAAGCAACGAATCCATAACTTCATCGGTCAACAATCGTTTGCAATACTATCATCCTTCGGACCCATGCTGTGGTGCGTGTGAGCGAACACGATCCATCGCGTTTCGTCGACATTGTTGGTTTTGTCATGATGAAAACAACACACGCTATATTCACACCTATTGATAAATTAGAATCTGCAGTGGATATAAGAAGCCTGTTTTTTGGAATGTGGGAAGAAGCCGAGTACCCCAAACTCGAATCTTGAGAACTTTAAGTCAGACATGCCAACCTCGATGCGATATGTTACATTGTTATTATCAACATTTAACATTTGCTTATTTTTGCCGAAACCCCGTTCAGGTCCTATGAGACGGTTTGCTTTTATTCGCAGGTGCTGCAACACCTTTAAACGTTCCAGCTGCTTTTTTCTCACTCTCTCTCTTTCTTGCCAATCTGCGGAGTTGCACTCCTTTTCATGGTGATTCATAATTTAAGAGTGCCAACCCAACAGGCCCAGATGCTGTGTTTTTTTTTTTTTTAGTTGTCCTCGATTTTGCCTCTCTTCCTCCTACACTTTTCTTAATTTCCTCCTCGCCTCAGGGTCAGGAGACACCTCGCGTTTACCTCACCTGTCGACTCCCTTTTTTAAGCGGCTTCGGTGTAATCGGCCTCGATCGGGTGCCCCCTTTTCGCCGCCAGTCTTCAAAGACTGCACAGCTTATACGCACTTAAGCTTGGCTTTAAAGAAAGAGGAAAAAAAAAACTATACTTTTTTTTTCCTTCACCCATCTCTCTTCAGCTGCAAAACATGTTTAAATATTTAGCAGCCATATTCACAGCTGTTTGACACTTGTAATTCCTCGTCTTACAAGTCCCAAACAAACGGCGCGGAAGATCACACAGTCAGTCTGAATCACAGCTGTCATCATTATTCACTTTGACTCACCCCCTCCTCCTCCGCCCCTTATTGAAATAATAAGGAAATCATCTGAACTTTGGAAAATGGTGATAGAAACCGCCCGTGTTTGATAGTGGAAGAAGGAACGAAAAAAAAAATGAGGCAGAAGAGCGAAAAAGAAGAGGGGAGAGAGAGAGATTTCTTTTGAGCTCCAGCTGCATTGTTCCGGGGCTTCCTGTTAATAACTTACAACTGAGGAGCGTTTCGCCACACGCACACACACACACCAAAAACAACAATAACACAATTTTCGCTCCTCCTCAGATGAAATTGTAGGTGTCAGATGGGGGGGAAAAAAAAGGATGCGCAGATGGAAGGAGTTTGCGCTTGTATTTACACAACATTTAGCCTGTAATGTACTGAAATGCTCGGGCTGAGGTCAGTTCTCTTTGTCCTGTAGATTTGGATCAAAAGGCTTTTTTTAAGATCACAACCACAGGGGTCAGCATTGAATTTGTTGATACCGTACGTAGTAATATCGGTTGTGTTCTTCCTCTGGTCTAGATGCTGGACTGTGAAGTCAAAACAATACACTGCATTGCGATACTGACATGAAGGCCCAACCCCGGTTATCGATACTCTGATATCGATATCAGTATTTTGTCTCACCCGATTATCAATACTTTCCTGCTTGTGTTAGCGACCCATCACAGAATGCTGATATCGGTTTTTCATCCCACCCTTAGTCTTGCTATGGTGCTTTCAGAATCCCATTGATACTGTACTGTAAGTGATAACAATCCAATATATTGATACCAATAATTTACCTTCCCCGTAGTGTCTGCACTGTTCCCTCAGAGATAACCATGCCGTTTATTTCCCCATATTTTGTTCAACCCCCTTGTATTGATAATTTCGGCTATCCCCTTTCAGGAATTCAAATGAGTAATATATTTCATTAAAAAAAATGGAATTCATTTGCACACTAATGATGCCATCCATCAACTTTAGAAGTGTACTTTCGCCGGCAGTTCTGGTGAAAATCGAGATTATAGAATGGCAAGGACTTCTTATTGTCTTGCCGTAAGTGAGGTATTTAAAAAAAAAAAAAAAATCCCGGTGGGCTTGTGTCACTATTAGGAGCGTCACAGCGTGTCATTATTGCATTCTTAGCGGCTGAACCCTCACCCTTTCGCCTCGGGTTCTTTTGCCGTCTAACTTGGGGCGCATTATTCTTAATGATCACACATGCGCGCACACACACATCCAACTCTGCCACCTCCAGCGAGCTACCTTCCCCCCCAACCCCCCACCACCCACCCCCGGCCCAGAACGGAGGAAGAGAAGCGAGAGCGATTCAGGGGGAGAAGGCTTTGAAGTGGCTTCCCATCGCAGCGAGTCTGCCGGCCGTCTCTCCCCGAGACGTGTCACCTTTTGCCAAGAGGGAATAGAAAAATCACGTTTCCGATGGTAATGATAACATACTAATCACTTGGGCTTCTTTGAAGAAGCCGGGGGAGTGCGCCACTCTGTCAGTGTGCCCGTGCGCGCACTGCAGCCACGGTCGAGGTGTGTTGGCTTCGACATTGCGCGTCAATACGTCGCCGCCGCCGCCTCAGCTCTTCCGTGGGGGCTCATTATATAGCCAAACACGAGGCTGTCGCCATCCGCCAAAGCCGCGCCACTGTGCCACCGCCTCCCGCTTCCACGCCAAAAAAAAACAAAAAAACAACTCACTTCCTGCCGCTTGCTCTCTCCACATATCTTTAGCCTGCCCTTGCTTTTAGCGACGAAAAAAAGCCACTCCTGTATTTGAAACAACATCTGATATAGAAGCCGAGGGAAAGAAGGAGTTCTCTATTTTCATTCAAATTTAGTTCCTTCTCTGAACAAGCAAAATTTTCCCTACCCCTAGTATCGAAGCGATACCGATATACCTCGTATCATTTTTTTGTTGATCGCTCCCAAGTATGAATGCTGTCCGGCGAGAGCTTGCAAAACATTTTTTCACCGCAAAAAAAAGCAAGTCATTTCCTCCGCTGCCTTCCTTGCCATCACATTCACATGTGCTTTATTTCCACCATCCTTAGCATGCACTGGCTTTTAGCGACTAAAAAGCCTCTCTGCGCTATTTTAAATGACATCTGTCAAGAAGATGGAAGTCAAGTTCTCTCCATCCCCTTCGTCTTATTGTCAAACTTTGAAAAGTGTGTCGACTCATTTGCAACCCTCCTCCCCCTCCTCGCGTGTTTTCCCATTTCCTCTGAGTGATTAGCTGCTACGTGTTTTGACAGCGAAACCCACTCTCCAGATTTTACTCCCCCCTGTCCCCTTCGCTCATGTGGTGGGCATCAACTCGTTTAGGTTTGTTTTTGAGTGTCAACATACGTCGCGTATGAAAGAGGCCATCAAACGCCGACCCTGTTTGTGTAAACATGGAAGTCTCGTATACTCGTGATCTTCAGTGTGCTCTAGTGAAGGCGGTGGAAATCAAATATATTTGGTGCCATGACAGCTAATGGAACGACACAATATCAATACTATACCGTAAAAACCTAACGTAGATTGCAGTATCTACGTTTGGTCCCGAACGATAAAGCTACACATCAATACATTAGTATCAGCACACGACCAAATGATATATGGTGAGATATGGTGTCGACTGAGTGAGAGCTAACTTAATGATACATCACAATGTCGACAATTTCCCCCTACCTGTAGTATTGACACTTTAAAAGATAGAGAAACGATACATCGATGTATCGGTATTTTGTCCGACCTCAGTACTGATATCGTACCGGTCCATGAGACCTGACAAGATCACACATTGCACTATCGACATTTGGTTCCATCAAGTATCTTCGATACTATGTTGTCTGGGCTGACGATATGATCCATACGGTCGCTCGCCCTGTAGATATTTTATCCCAGTTCCTGTATTGGATCAGTATCGTGCGAGCTACTGTGACGATACATCACAAAGGTGACTTGTTGTCCTATCCCTTATATCGATGCTGTGCAATGTGAACTAAAGGTAGAATACGTCAGAAAAACAATATTTCATCCCACTTCAAGTATCAATACGGTACTGTCGCCGCTAACAATACATGCCAAACATGTCAATATCAATATTCTGCCTTCTCTACCTGTCGATACAACTGTGTCCATTGTATACATTTTAAGTCTCCTTGTATTTGTTCAGTCTCTGAAAGGTTCCTAATGACCTCAGTAATGATGCTTTCGTTCGCCCGTAAATGGTTAAATGTTGTCATTGTCATCGCCGACATGCATGCGCTTGCTATTCCACGAGCACATTAAAAACATTGTTATCCGTGAAGGTTATTGGCAACCTTGGCGCCGCTGCGTCGGTCATGCCGCGTTTAGGCTTGGCGACGTGTTTCTTTTGAAATGCGTCCCAGCGCTCTCTCGCAATCAAAGTTTGTGTTTTTCCTCAACGCTTTCTCCATTTTGTTGTTGTCATCGTAGAGAGCGCATCTGTTGGACAACACAGAGAGGCTGGAAAGGTCATCGCGACGACTAGAGGCCGGCTACCAGATTGCGGTGGAAACCGGTACGTCGTCTTGTTTTGGATTGGGGTGCGATTCTGTGAGGGATGAGTGAGCGACAGCAAATTGGCTCGCTCAGATGAGAGGTGGGTGGAAATGTGTGTTTGTGTGAGCGGGTGGGGGGCAGGGGAGGAGGATTGTGGGTAGGGTGGTGTTTGGCAGAGAAGTATATATATATAAAAAAAGAAAAAAAAATGGTTCCTTGACGCCTGATGACATTTTCGGGTGCACATCAAAGGTGAGGCAGGCTGAGAGTGAGAAAGCGAGCGACACATCCCAAAGAGGAAAATTCATGCATACGCCGCGCCACACTGGGTGCGTCTTGCGTGTGTGTGCGTTTGGGTGTTTTATTAATTTTTTTCCTTTTTAAGGGTCTTACGAAAATAAACTTTTGAATTCAGGTGGAAGATTTTATAAATAAAACATCTTCAAACAAAACTTATGAATAAGGTTGTTTTTATCAACCTATAATTCCATCACCTCATTTGGTTCTTAAATAGATTTAACCAGTTTGCGTCGACTTTTTTTTTTTTTGTATCCCGTCTCGTTTTCCTTGCCACGCCGTATTCCTCTGAGAGGTATCAAAGGCGAGTTCTTCAAGTGTCGTTCCGCGGCTTCCGTTGTAGTTTTCCAGAAAGTTTGTCAATTTACACTATAAATGGCGCGCGTGCGACATTGACACATTTAATAATTCAAGTTGAGGGAGGACGACAGACTTTTGTGTTTTTCTGCTAGTGTAACTATTCATGAATACATAAATACAAGCCGCCGGATGCTTAAAAATGCGCGTAAACCGGCGTCGTCATCCATGCTGCAAATTCTGCGAAAGCCCCGCAGAGCAAACGCAGCAGCTTGGATCTCTTATCTGTGGAAGGACTCGGCGCTGAGTCTTACGGAATAAGCTAGCCGCACAAGCAGGACACAACTGGACAAATCACGAACAAATTTCTACCTAGCGACTATTCCAAACTCACTGCAACAAAATAACGTTTTCAGGAAATCGCGTTTTGAAGCGGTCGCTTGACTTGAGTTTATTCGCTTCGTGGCCAAACTCGATCAAGTCAGAATTCCACATTGAAAAGAATTGAAATGACATTCATGAGATCTCAAAACCGACCGAAAGTGCATCGGCAACTGTGGCTCTCCTCGCCTCCCTGCCGGAGGCCCAAATAGTTGAGTTGCCTTTAGTCACGTGGCAAAATCTCTGGCTTCGCCGCTCCTGCCGCCATGTGAACTCTCACCCTCTCCGTCACCGCCGGTCGACTCATCCAAGAAAAATCCCGCCGAGGTCCCGCGTGCACCGACGGCAGGGTGCGTCAGTCGGCTGTTTGGTTGCGGGGGCGGAGGGAAAGAGGGGGGTTGATGCCTCGCCCCGGCACATTTAATCTGTGACCCCTCGCTTTACTCGCCTGTCGATCGCAGCCCTCTGCTCAGCTGCACAACCTGAAATGGCGACGCCTGCTCGGGTCAAACAAGCGATGCATCTGCAACAGAGAAGAAGGATGCGCTGGGAATAGACAGTGTGCCGCTTTCCACAGCCGCAAAGATTTTTCTCGCCCCGCTCCTGGATAGAAATGCAAAGCATAAAGAATAAAGCATCGAGAATAAAAACGGGTTGCTTAAAAATTGCAGTTTGCCACGTAACGATGGTTATTGTTTGGTTCAGGAGCCAAATCCAAAATAGAGCACGTTTTGGCGAAACGTTTGAACGATGACGTGACGCCGTTTGAAACAAACGTGACGTGCAGCCTTCAGCGTAGCGCTGGCCGTAACGATTCCGCAAGTCGTAGGCTGAGCTGCGCTGTATTTGTTTGCGCACGTACTTTTCTTCTTGCGCTTTACATCCGTTTTTGTGGAGGAGCCGTACCGAAGTATCCCAATCTTTTTATCCCGTACTTTGACACGGACGACACACGTATGGCGTGTGTTTTAGGCAAACGTGGGCTAAAGCGACAGGTGGCGCCACACGTCATTTTTGAGCCGTACCTGAGCCAATCAGAAGCCTGAGGAAAGTCATACAGGGGGGAAAACACGCAATCAAGTCCACAGTTGAGGAAAGCAGGGAAAGAACGACGAGCGGAAATATCAAATGAGCAAAACAAAGCGCGGTGCAGCATTTCAATCATTCAAGTCATTCATCCAATTGGACGTCAGCTGTGTCCAGATGTGGTCATTATCTTGCGCCCATTCAAAGTTGCGGCCCACGTTCTCACGGCGGGGCCCTTTGAGAAATGCAATTGACCGCTGATAGAGAAGTGGAAGTTTGAAATCTATTTCAGAGAACAAAGAAACGGTGGTGAAATTCCGCTTTTTCTTTTTTCCCTCCCGACTCGAGCGTCGTCTGTTGTAATGACCGCGAACAAAAAGCCGGGATGCTTCTGGGTCAGATTTAAAGGGAAGGGAGGGGGTGCACTTGTTCTAAGAAAAGACGAATCTTCACCATGTATCATCATCACATTTTAGCATTTGTGTTTTTCTTTCTTGTTTTTTTTCCCTGTTTTTAAACTATTCTCAGCGTCTCGCGTGTATTTAAAGAAAACAAAGGCTTGTCAAGAGCGGTGAGAGCCCTCAAAGGGATAGCGAGTACACTCTTTGGACACGCGGCGCTATTTATTTACCACACGCGGACCCCCTACCCAACACACTGACAAGCAGGCTTTTCTGGTTCTCTCATAAATAAAGTATAGAAGTTCGTTAGTGAATAAGAAAAAAAAAAAAGAAAAAAGGCAAGTGGCTGCAACAAGCAAACGTGCAAAGCAGTTAGCTTTGGCTTGGCGAAAAATTTATATATAAAACCGCTCTTAACTATTCATCTAAAATAAGATATAGAATTGTAAATAACAAAGCTCAAGGGCAGTTTCCAATTTGGCTCAGGAGAAAAACTTGATGGGTATGAGGTACACGTATTCTTGAATTCTGATTTTCTGTCATTTTTACAAAAAAAGAAAAGAAAAATCCTGTCATTGTATTTTTTTGTTTAGTATAGTAGGATAGGACTCCTGACATTCATCTAAATTAAAGAGACGAATAAGAAATTGTCATTTTTAGTGAACAATATATATGTATGTATGTATATGCGCGCACACACACATAGCTCATTTGGGATTGATTTCACTCCCGTTTCGATAAGCCGAGTGGTTTGGGCTTTGCTGCCTTTACCTCCCTCCCCCAAAGTTTACGGCGTGCCAGGTAGAGAGCAGCACCGCGGGCCATCAACTTTATTAGGATGGTAGATAAGCTGATTAAAGCTTGTCAATCAAAGGATCCAGAGACTCTCAATCAGAGTCGGGGGGCGCACCACATTGTTTCTTTCTATCCGCCTTTTCTGCTCACTCTCTCTTGATTTTTTTTTTTTTTTTTTGTCATAAATCATTGAAGCGAGCAACAAAGTGGCAGCGGCAGCAGTAGCGGAGGCTAAGCTAAGCGAGGACGCTGTGATGATGTGACGACACTATTAAAGGCCGTACCGGCTTGTGTTAAAGCGCTTTGATTTGGGGCGGTGGCGCTATTAGACGAGGGATGCAAGCAGGCGGGCTGCGAAGAGTCAGCGCCACACCGAAAGATTAGTCGGCGGCCGGAACAAATACAAAAACAAACAAACCAACAACCAAAAAAAAAAAAAAAAAAACAGACAGATAAATATGGCAATTACACAATTTGTGCTCGTCCCCCGTAGTGCAGGGATTCCCAAAATGGGCTGAGCGCAAGACTGAAAGTGGAGCCTCGCTATGTGTGAGCGTTAGACCAACCCCATCTATATGTTTTTTTTGTCTTAAACGCCTATCTTAATATTTTAAAGCCTAACTATCATCAGTCTTTGTCAAATGGAAGACTAATTGGGAGATTCGTCAGCAATGGCGAATCAGTGGAGAGCTTTCCAGCAAGCATCCCTCGTGGCTAATATCACATTTAATCTTATCATCTTAAGTTTCCCCTCATTGCTTTCAGTTCAAGTCAGCAGTAGTCAGTCCCAGTTCCACCACCTGAAAGTACCCTGGCACTGATTCTCTCCAAACATGATAACAAGGTCTTCTGCCACCGGGGAATTACTGTATTTTTTTTTCTCGCCAAGCTGGAGTCTGTTGATTCAGCTCTTCCCGTCCCATTGAGGGCACCGTATGCTAGCTGGCTTTTGTGTACCGAAGGCCTTTTGTCCAGCGGCACCTCAGCGAGCGCAGTTGAAGCGTAAACAATTTTTTTTTTCCCTTTTTGCCCCTAAATCCCCGCGGAACAGCTCAGTCCGAGGGTGTCAAAGATAATGGCGATTTATTGCGGCGCTCGGCTTTCTCATTGGCCCTCGTGCCCCTTTTCCATTCGCCAGCCGTCCCTTCCTCCTCAAACAGATTAAAATTAAGCCGTAAACATGTGAGGACGGAATTAACACGTTTAGCCAGTCTCTTCGTCCCACATCCCATTTTCGTTGCGGCTGATCCCCGTCGCCGCCGCTGCCGCCGAAAAAGGGACGACGCGGCTGCAATTTTAATGACTTGCGACCGTTTTTTTTGAAGTCCACATGAAAAAAAGAAAAAGCGAGCGCTCGCCGTTTGTGGCGGCGCTAGATACGGCGGGGGACGAGGCCCGGGCCCGTGATTGGCGGGAGGACACGCGCCGCGGGCTCGGACTCCGGGGCTCCTCGATAGCATCGGTGTCATTTTCCTCTTCTCGATAAGACCGCGTGCTGACAAGGTCCGATTAGAAGGGGTGGGGGAGGGAATAATTACAGCATTGCCTTTCATCCGGCGATAAACAGCATGCCGGCGGCTGGATTTTTTTTTTTCTCTTTTTTAAAGAGCTGAAGCATATACATTCAGGAAATAGAGTTAACTAAATTTGAAGAAAAACACACTTGCCCCCCAACCACCCCCTTCCTTCTTCAAAACATGATTTTTTTTTTTTTCTTCCAAGGCCTCCTTTTCTCAAAGCTGTGAAATATTTACGTCCTGGCTCTGGGCGCCATTAATCTAACAATTATCAAATGACGCCCTATTCCGTGTGAACACACAAT